AACTGGAGACCGCCGGCCTAAAATATAGACGCTCACGATGTAACTGAAGGAGCGCCTGGACTCATTGTATGCTGCATCACAGTTTCTCTGACAAAAGGCTAAGTGGCATGTTATCTGAAAATGATTATGTCGACAGTCACCCCACAACTCACTATGTCACAAACCTAGTGCCTACCGCCTGTTTGCCTTTTAGATAAGAACCTTTAGGAGTCTTGTAGTATGTCAGTTCTCTAGTCACCCGAACCTGCAAAACCACACTTCACTTACGTCTCGTAATTTACAGAAAGTGAGTATTGGGCTGCAAGTCTGTCCGATTAAAGAATTCGGGCTAAAGTGTTCTTTTGCTTTCACCATCGCAGGCACATACGCCAAGGTCCAGCTATTATGGAAAAAACCCGACTCGAGGTGGAGAGATCTACCGTGGTGCAATCGTCGCGCCATGCTCTATTCCCCTTTCGAATGCCCGGCCAGCTGAACCATGCTAACTGTTGTTCAATCAAGCTATTGCACGACTTCCACACAAAATGCCCCCCTTCGTACGAGTTGCCATTTGTGTCTTTCTTTTCTAAATCAATAAAGGTGGCTTTGAGGTCTGATCGGTTCTGGATGGATAACAGTTAATTCACTGTAAAGTTCTCAAGTAGCATGTAGACAAGGCAGATATCAATACGACAAACAGCTTCACGGGTAGGTATATGTGGACCCTCAAGAGGAGCATGGAAAACCGGCTTATCTTTTAAAAGCTAAGTGCTAATTCAAGGGTTTCGCCCTGCGGGACATAAACCACTTCTTGCGTACAGAGCAAGGCTGTGTTCAAAGTCAGGGATTGGGAAGCGGACAAGGCAGTGAGCCAGTTGGTTTCCGAGAGCGTCTAGCATATCTTCCGTATAAATTCTAGTCAAAAACAAGACTAATTAAAAAAGTGTAAAATCAAATCAAGTCGGAACGTAACAGCAATTAATAAAAGAACGCGTTCAAAGACGATCCAGGCCAGTGTCTTGACAGAATGATGAAAATAGCCTTGCAAATAGTTTCAGAGTAAGTAGTCTTTCGTAGTGTGGCAGTTCTAATGTTAATTTTTGTTGATAAAAATGATATGTAAGTCAGTGCAAAATTAGAATCGTGGTGTGAAAAGGATCACGATGAGATCAATAAAGTGGGAAGATTAAAAGGCAGAGCTTTGAAGCAGTAGCGCATTACGCGCTGGATTTGAGAAGTTTCTTGAAACCCCTGGCGGCGGCCTTCACAGTGGATTGGTCTTGGACATTCAGTTTTGCCACAAGTTTCACGATCACTGTATTCATAAAGAACTCGAGATTCTCCCGAATGATTGGAGCCTACAAAATAAAACAAAATCGCATTTTAAAGACAAATACTGCAATTTACCCCTACGAAGAGTTAACACCTTTTGCACTTGCACGACTAGGGGAAGAGTGAATGGACGCCGCTCCAGTCTGAGCCAAGGCGACAGGCTCGTTTGGTGGGTTAGCAACAAAAAGTTCGCCCGTCGCTACCGGCGACGTTCATTTTTGCCCCACAGCATGGACGAAGAATGGCAAAATATGCGGATAACGGCAAAATGATTATAAAACGTCGGATACTGATACAGGATTATGGCATAGTGAACGCTGTCCGTTGATAATGCGACCCAAAAGGGACTTAACTGTTGCCACTTAAAAATGCTGAAGTTTGAAAAGCCTGCGGCGAGGTCTCGCTTGTAAGGTGATATGTTGTTTTTCAAACTATGATAGCTGTAGCGTAATAATCACTAGAGCAGTATGTACTTTGCCAACCTGCAATAGTAGGTGACAAGTGTCTGTGGACGATGCTATGGTTCAAATTTGAAAGGCAATACCTTGCAACCTGTTTGTGGTAGCAGACTGCCGTCGCCTTAGTTTGGTCGCGGGCAAATTTGTCCGTGATGTCATCTACTCTAGCCCTTTGAATTGACGCCCCGTCTATGGACGAACAGGTATGGTGACCCTAGGTCTAGACGGAGTGTCGGGTAATAACTGGAAGCCCTTGTCTCCTTTATCGTCGGAATTTATGTCATAAATAAAAAGCGCGTCGAAAGATCTGTGAAAATGCCATCTATTTAGAGGTACCTGTTTTTCCAGTTTGAAATCGCTTAGGGCCTGACGATAGACACCCAGTTCTTCTTCCAACATGCCGGCGAGGCATGCAGCAAAGCTGTCTAGCAGAGCAGGACAACCGAAGCGCGAACAGGCCTGAACAAAGGTGGCCAAGGCGCGGGAGCTTTGTGCTGTGAAGTTCGTCAAGTGTTGACCACCTGTCGAAAAGGGGCTCAAATCAATTTTTGTTCAAATATACAAGGCAGGCAAATAAACGGGAATGGGGCAAAAATTCCTCTTGGAAAGGTAGAAGTGCAGAATGTGAGCCTGTTGTTTACATTGCAAAATTATTCGTATTGGTGAAGAAAAAGCCAACCAGAAGAATTAAGGGCCAATTTGTGCATAGCGTGGGAGGAGACTTCTTTAATTCCCTTTCTGCAGTTTTGTCTATTGTAGACACAGCAGTGTCAAAATTGTAATTCCAAAACCCAGATATTCACTTGATAGGTCATGGGTACCAGTCCGAAGTGGAAATGAACTCGTTACCACGAAATCTCATTTCCCTATGAAATTCATGCCAGTAATAATCACGGAAAAGATCAGGAACGGAACGGGGGACAATATAATGTTCACTTTTGACGAACATGAAGTGTGGGAGAGAAGTAGGAGTGCTGGACAAACCTGAGAGATATTGTCGAGCCTCTGAAAACCCAGACTCCGTCATCACTTTTAAGTTGGCTTCAATCTGCTCGTTGCTAAATGCCGAGGAGCCCTGCCAGGTCTCCTTCTAAAATATCAAAAACGGTTAGTTGTTGTTGATAATCCAATAAGCTTGATTAATGGATCTTTAGAAGAACAAATGTGTAGTAGCAGGTAGACACGCCGTCGTGTTATTTTTCCTTAATAAAATGACAATGATGGAGGCCAC